TTTTTTTGCGACAACCTCTGGCTCTGTTGCCCAGGCTGGAGTGTGCAGTGGTGCCACCATAGCTCACTGCAACCTCCGCCCCCTGGGCTCAAGCAATCCTCCTGCCTTAGCCTTCCAAGTAGCTGGAACTTCAGGCATGAGCCACCACACCCAGCTAACTTTTGTATTTTTTGTAGTGATAGGGTTTCTCCATCTTGTCCAGGCTCGCCTCTAACTCCTAGACTCAAGCGATCCACCTGCTTGAGCCTCCTGAAGTGCTGTGATTACAGGCGTGAGCCCCCGCGGCCACCCTATGCTTTAAATGGAGTAGGCTCACCTTGGCATTCTGCCACTTGGAGCAGAAAAGTCTAGCTGCAGGCAAGTGTCCCCGTCTTTGGTATTTATCCAGTTCACCTTCCCACTGAGTAAGGTGATCCCACTGGTTCTTTGATCTCCGTAGCTAGAGATGCTGGCTTCTGATTACCTGCCTCATTCTCTGCTTACATGATGAGTCATTTGGGCCAATTCTCCTGCTTACCAAGCCCAGCCTTTCCCCATCTATGTCTCCCCTGCAGGCCCCCTGGCTTAACACACTGGCGGTGTTAGGTTGAAGCCAATCATGCTGTGGAAAGGTGGCCCTGCAGCCCAGCCCGGCTCTGTTGGCTCCCTCTGTAAATCCTCTGGTAGCTGTGACTGGCTTGCTCTGAATCCCTTTATGACCGGTAGCTTCTGTTTCTGTGCAGAATTGGTCACATCGCATTTTAAAGTAACAGGTTACTTTGCATCTCAAGGGTGCAGAGGGAGGAGCCATAGCCTGAACGCCCAGATTTTATGAGGTTTGACCTTCTAGATGACAGGTTTTAAAAAAAAAATTATATATGTATATGCATATATATTTTTTTCTTTTTTTTTTGAGACAGAGTCTCGCTCTGTTGCCCAGGTGCAATCTTCGCTCACTGCAACCTCTGCCTCCTGGATTCAAGCGATTCTCCTGCCTCAGCCTCCCAAGTAGCTGTGACTACAGGCACATGCCACCACACTTGGTTAATTTTGTGTATTTTTAGTAGAGACAGGATTTCACTGTGTTAGTCAGGATGGTCTTGATCTCCTGACCTTGTGAGCCACTCACCTCCCAAAGTGATGAGATTACAGATGTGAGCCACCGTGCCTGGCCAAATATATTTTTTTAGACAGGGTCTCTGTCACCCAGGCTGGAGTGCAATGGCGTAATCATGGCTTACTGCAGCCTCGACCTCCGCAGGGCCTCACCTGATTCTCCCATCTCACTCTCCCTAGTAGCTGGGACTACAGATGCACACCCCCATGCCCAGCTTTTTTGTATTTTTTATAAAGACAGGGTTTTGCCATGTTGCCCAGGCTGGTCTCAAACTCCTTGCCTCAAGCAATCCTCCCACCTCAGCCTCCCAAAGTGCTGGGATTATAGGCATGAATCACTGTGCCCAGCGTGAATCAGTGTTAACCAGTTCTGGACTTTCTATTTGATCATTCCCACGGACAGGGTAGTAAACAAGGAGGATGGAACATGTTTAAGAAGTGCAAACAGATATTTTTTTTTTTTTTTTTTTTTTTTTTTTTTTTAGAGATAAGGTCTTGCTGTGCTGCCCAGGATAGAGTGCAGTGGCAAGATCATAGCTGGCCAGTCAATCACCACCACGCTCCATTGCCAGGCGGAAATATTTATTTGAAAAATTGAAAACACAGATGCAATGTATTATACAAAGAAAGGTCTTAATACCATAATAAAAGTATTGTTGGAGGGAAACAGAAGCCAGTGGTCACCTGCCCTGGGAAGGTAGGCACTCAGTGAAAAATGAAATTCATTTCAAGGAACTACCCTAATGGAAAACTGGGGGAAAGATTAAAAACAGAAGAAAAACAAACCCAACCCTATCCCTGCAAACCAAAGTGTGAAAGAGTTTGTTCTAAGTTTGAGACAATTGCGTTGTCACCAAGATGTAACCGAACCCCCTCGGTTTGCCCCTATGAGTGGTAATCAGTTTCATTTAGGGCCTTCAAACCTGAGGTAGTTGAGGGTCACCTGAAAGACATGTCTGGAAAAATCTACTCTCAGAATTGAACCCAACGGGATTTGAATAGTTTCCTTTTGTTTTGGCTCCTGACAACACCACGGAATGGTGCTGATCCTGTATTTGGCCTGGACCTGGGAGAGGAAGGAATTTGACAGCAAACAGCTGGCCTGGTTTGCTGTGTCGATGGCTGGCAGGTCCATGGTGGTGGTTTTCTATGCTACACGTGGTGCAGTCTTTGGAGGACAAGGATGGCAGAGAAAGAGCAAAGCCAGTTTGCTTGGAAAACCAATGTTGGAACTGAAGGCTTTCACTGGCAGGATTTCCAGAGATTTGGAAAGGTGGTAGAAGGCAGCAAGATACTGACTGGCTATTAAAGACCAGGGTCAAGTGGAGCCGGGAGACCCCTCTAGACTAAGGAGCTAGAGAGAACTTCTCAGCTGCAAGCTGAGAACTAGCTCCTCCGCAGGGTTGAGAGACCAAAGCCAACTAATCTGACTAGAGCGACATGTACATGTGATCCCCATGTTACCTGGTGGCATACACCTTGCTGTCTGACTTGGTAGCTGGGACGGTTCCAAGAAAAGATGCTCTAGACAGTGGTTCTTCCAGCCACTGGGTTAAGGGACCCGTACTCCAGTGGGATTTTGGGGATACTGCTATGGACGGCCACATCAGCAAACGATCTAAACTAGTCTCATTTAAACTCCTTCCTCAGATATAAAATGACCCTGCCAAGGTGGCTCTTCTCTTCTATTTCTTTCTTTCCTTTTTTTTTTTTTTTTGAGACTGAGTCTCACTGTGACCCAGGCTAGAGTGCAGTGGCGTGATCTCGGCTCACTGAAACCTCTGGCCCTCGGGGTTGAAGTGATTCTCCTGCCTCAGCCTCCCAAGTGGCTGGGATTATAGGTGCCCGCCACCACGACCAGCTAATTTTTGTATTTTTAGTAGAGATGGGTTTTCACCGTGTTGGCCAGGCTAGTCTTGAACTCCTGACCTCAGGTGATCCACCTGCTTCAGCCTCCCAAAGTGCCTGGGATTATAGGCATGAGCCACCTCGTCCAGCCTCTTTCTCTTATGATGTAAACAAACATCTTTTCTCTAGAGGTCTCAGGGTACTGCATTACAAACTTAAGTAACAGATGCGGTTGTTTTTCAACCTCTTGTCGATCCTAAGCCATTATTTTGTTGCTGTCTCGTCTTGTCATGACCCATTTACATTTACCCAAGACTTATCACTAGTGATGCTCAGTGACTCATTTAAAGGCTGGCAGGTTCATTTTTAGCTTTAAGATGTGATTCCCGTTTTAATCCAAGGTGTGTCATCACATACTTCACCTTCATTTTTAGAAGAGTCACAATAGGACAATTTGATTTTGTCTAGAGAATGGGGTGGCTGTTCTAATCTGAGCTATTACAAAAGTAATTATGTGACATCTGACAGGTACTTCCTCATGTGACACTGAATTAGCTTCTGCTTCAGTGCACTTCTGTTTAAGTGCTTTCTTAACCGCTATGACTCAGGCTCAGTTGATAAGGTTTTAAACATTTCTGTGGCTTCTTTTTAGAGAGAGTATTATTCAGAGAATTTTTTCTTTTTCTTTTTAAAGAGATGTAGTCTTGCTCTGTCACTCAAACTGGAGTGCCGTGGTGCAATCATGGCTCACTGCAGCCTCAAACTTCTGGGCGGGGCTCCGACAGAGAATCTTTTTTTTTTTTCTTTTTTTTTTTTTTTTTTGAGATAGGGGCACAATCAGGGCTCACTGCAGCCTCGACTTCCCAAGCTCAAGAAATTCTCTTGCTTCGGCTCCCCAACTAGCTGAGACTACAGGCATACACCATCATGCCCAGCTAATTTTTTTTTGTTTTAGTCTTAGTAGAGACGAGGTCTTGCTACGACACTCAGGCTGGTCTCAAACTCCTGGGTTCAAGCAATCCTCCTGCCTTGGCCTCCCAAAGTGCTGGGATTACAGGCATGAGCCACTGCACCTTGCTGGGTAGAGAATCTTAATTTGATCCAATACACTAGAATTTTTGCCCCATCGGTAATTTGGAGCCTATAACTTGGAATGGCTGAGATCTAGAAGGGAGGACTAGCCACTTTTGGAAATATTGACCCACATCAAGAATACACTGATTGGGTTAGTTGCCACAACCGGGACAGGGATGCTTACGCACCATTCCTTCTGAACCTTGAAGCAAATACTAAGCAGAAGGCAGCATTCAACATAATACTGCCCAATTTCTACTGCCGATACTTCCTTAGCCTAGTATGGAGGTCACATGTCTGTGTATGGTCATCCGAGGTCCTGGGAGAGGATTTTTTGAATGTCCCACTTAGAAAATGCACAGAGAGGGAGTTGGGGAAGGGGGTGGGTTAGGGAGAGGGGGGTTGGTTCACAGTGATCAAATAGAAGTCTCACTACCCGTCATGTAGCAAAACCTAGCAGTGTTCCGTTGGGGCAGATCCTGGGAAGTGCTTGATGGCTACCACCAATGAGTTGCTATAGATAAAGAAGGAAGACGCTGTTTTTTTCCAAGATCAGAAGGTCACTTAAATGCTGGGGTCCACCTAGAAGAGGAAATGTGCCACTGGACTGTCCACCCCTAGTAAGCTGTTCATGTGCCCTCTGTCCTCACCCTGTCCACAGGGCAGCGAGAGCCTGGGGCATGTGGCTGACGGGAGTTACAGCCACTGGTTCCCTCCTTTCTCATTTTCTCTGACCCCGGAGCTCTGAACGGTCTCCTTGCTGTGGGATCCGAGTCAGTAACGGTCCAGCACCTTGGCCTTGCTTCTGATTCTTGAAGGCTGATGTAGCCGGGCAGAAAGATGAGCCTTGCCATAGTCACACCTGAAGTCCTGACTGCTCCAAGCATTTCTCCGTAGGCTGTTGCTGTTTAAGGAGGTTAGTAATAAACATTAAGGGCAGCAAACCAAGTATAGGACTCTTTCCTGATGGGAGCAATTGCACCTGATCTTCCGGGTTTGTCAATTGCGTAGAAGGTGGAATGATCCTCCGAATCAAGAGGATGCCAAGGCAGGCATCTGCAGAAAGGAGTTGGGGATCACTCCCATGCTCCTTCTCTGGGCCAAGGGAGATGGCCCACGTGACACAGACCATTCACAGTTCATTCCAGGGGAAGTAGTGTTGCTGATCTCACCAGCTCCATTCAAGCATGTGATAAAGGTTTTTGAGCCTGGTCTCGGGAACTCCTAAGAAATGTGTCCTGTGAAGACCTGGGCTATGCGCACCCTCTTGTCCCTCTTTCTGTTGTCCTCTCCCTTGTGAAGGTGGACAGATGCTTTCCGCCGGGGTTCAGCTTTAGGAGGGAAAGGCACTCGCTCTGCTTCTGCCTTTTGAGGAAAGTTGTCACTCAGCAGCTCCGCCTGACCCTGAAGCGTGGCCTGGGTGGGACAGCACCTGCTCAGCGTGGAGGCGGAGGTGGAGCACCAAGGAGAGGCCTGGGCAGCACCATCGCCGGAGCTGCCACAGTGGGGGGCCCCGGAGACTCAGCCCCAGGGGTGTGCCCTTTGGGAGAGTTGGCTATTTGAGTGAAAATTAAAAAGAAAAAACCACCAAAATACCCAACCAACCACCATAAGAAGCAGTGGAAATCCATGGCACTGCCCAAAGAGGGAGAGAATGGCCTTGGCATTCACAGCCAGGACACTCCTGCTGTCCCTCTGACTGTGCAGATTTCAGGGTAGTGTCCTGGTTTGGAATCCATCAGCCCTCTGATGCTCACAAGTTTATGTAAATGATGAAACTGAAAAGACTGAGAAGAAAACAGAAAAGAAAAAGCATAAGCTCTTCCCTCTCCAAGCTGTCAACAAACAGCAAGCAGCCCCTCTCTTAAGGATACCCATTGCGTGGGGGTCAAGCAGTCAGCAGGACTGGATGGAGGTCCTCTCTGTTGAGTGGCCCTGCCCCCTACCATCCTTCTTTGGACCTTGGCTTGCTCATGGGCAGCACTGGCCAGCCTGGATGCTAATTAGGGAGGCGGGGAAAGAACAGAGATGACCATGGGCCCAAACAGAAAGTGTGTCACTATGGAGGGAGTCTTTGGAAGAGTCATGCAGGTCCTCGGCATGGGGTAATGGCAGTGGTGTGGCTGCCCCTGGGACTTCAAGGATTTGGCCTGTGGCTAGGGAAATAACACACACAGAGATGGGTAACAAGGATTTGCACTGACATATGGCGTGTTGGTTTGGCTCTATTCTTTTTCGGTTACCGCTTCTTGCAATGTCGGTGGAGATGCTTCTGTTCCTAAAAGACAATGATAATTTATGTTGCAAAGCACTCCCTGCATGCGTGCATTCACTTAACCAACAAAGCCTGCCACCATGTGGGTCTCGAAAATACATTATAATCATAACCATGGTGTAATCACCTAGTCCCCAAGTTTGGTGTCTAGGAATGACTAGGATCTGTCTATGGTTGGTGCCCAGAGTCAGTCAAGTCCAATAAGAGTCAACAATCTTGGCTGTGATCAAGCTGACTGCTTTCGACATGCAGACAGCAACATACAGACTCGAGGTGATGGATGGCAAGTCTCTGGGCTGGCAGGCTAAACGTGACTCCATGACACTCCATTTCTCAGCAACTGATTCCTCCTATCTTTTGGCAATTGATGTCCTTCACTGGCTCTAGATAGTCAGAACCTCGTAATTCACTTGTCTCTGTCTGTCAGATCTCCACTGACCACTATTCATTCATTTTACAACTCTCTCCTGGCCAGAAACTAAATTCCCAGGGAGTCGACGGGCTAGCTGGTCCTGGGAGGGAATGACAGTGAATGAGTTATAATCAATGTTTAGGTCTTAAAAGGTAACAACAAAAGCTTTCAATTCACCACAATTTCACCCAGAGTTAGGCTTAAAGGTTATTTACAACTCAAGAGAAAACAGATTCTATGAAGAGAGAAGAGAAGGAAGAAGCCACCGATCTGGTGGGTTCCTTGTTCTGTTCCATTCTAGGGGAAGGCCCTGGCCACACAGCTTCCCCTCCCTCCTTGGAGTCAGCTCACCTTCTTCCCAGCCCTCGGCAACACCAGCAAGCTCGTAGTGCTTTTTCCGAAGCTCTCCCAGTTTTTGACGCTCCTTCTGCAATTCATTTTCTAGCTCTAGCACCCTAACCTGCAAGGCAAAGTAAGTGGGATTTTCTTTTGATCGGCTCTCTAAGTTTTATTTATTTATATTTTTTATCGAGACGAGGTCTTGCTCTGCTGCCCAGACTGGTAGTGAAATCCTGGCCTCAGGCAATCCTCCTGTCTTGGCCTCCTAAAGTGCTGAGATTACAGGCATGAAACACCAAGCCTACATCTACCTTACTTTGATCATCCGCTTTCTGCTGCATTGTGGCTTTCCTCTTCTTCCGTATTATTCACCCTGTCTCCATACTTTATCCAGTCCTCAATTTCAATTCTCTTCTCTGCTCTAATTTTTCCATTCTCCCATTCATTTATCTATCCCAATAGCTCTTACGTTTTACTCACTGTGATCCTCTACTGGAATTGAATGATGCTTTACAAATGCCTAAATGGGAGGTGGGCTTATCTTCCGTTCCTCTGATAAATCACTATCTAAAAACAACTCTAATGTTTAGCCTCACCGTATGGTGAGTTCCAATCTAGTTGTAACCCTTCTTCAATCCTAGTTCCTTGGAAACCCAGGTAGGAACCAAATACTATGGTTCTGATACCTTTCAGGTATTTGTGCAACTTAGGCTTATTATTGCTACAAGAAAAAGCATGGACAATCTTACTAAAGGAAAGGGTGATCTTGGCTAGCTCTATTTCTCATTAATGAAATTTATTTTATTTCTTAATTCAAGGAATATTTGCTGGCTGGTTGTGGTGGCTCATGCCTGTAATCCCAGCACTTTGGGAGGCCAAGGCAGGTGGATCACTTGAGGTCAGGAGTTTGAGACTAACCTGACCAACATGGTGAAACCCAGTCTCTACTAAAAATATACAAAATTAGCCAAGTATGGTGGCACATGCCTATAATCCCAGGTACTTGGGAAGCTGAGGCAGGAGAATTGCTTGAACCCAGGAGGCAGAGGTTGCAGTGAGTCGAGATTGTGCCATTGCACTCCAGACTGGACAACAAGAAAGAAACTCCATCTCAAAAAAAAAAAAAAAGTATTTGCTGAGCACTGATCATGTATACCAGGCTGTTATAGGTGCTGGAGACACAGTGGTAAACAGACAGACAGTGTCCCTGCTTACCTTGTAGAGGGAAGGGACAAACAAATGAAGAAGAAAAGATCAGATTATAAAGAAATTATACAGGGAGATGTGAAAAATACTATGAAAAGTCAGTCAAGTCTATTCTCAGTCATTTTTCACCATATGTGGCCTTAAGAGCTCAGCTGTCTGGAGCCCTGGAGAATATTCCAGGCAGAAGAAACAGCCAGAGCAAAGGCTCTAAGGCAAGACAAATCCGGAGGTGTTGGGAGAAGGAAGGAAGTTGTATATGAGACATACGAGAGAGGGGTAGGGTTGCGAGAGGAGGTTGAGAACCACGCAAGAATCATTTTTCACCCAGGCTCATGGCCCAATGAGGAGCTTGGATGTTGTACATGCAAAGGAAAGCCATTGGGAGGATTTAAGCAGAGAGGAGTCATCCTGAGATTTACATTTCTAAAATAAATCACATAGAGAATGAGTGAACTGTAGAGGGTCAAGAGTAGAAGCAATTAGACCCAGTGAAGTGGTTCATTTTTTGTTTTGAAACTTTTTATTATGGAAAAAGTAAAATGTCTGCAGAGATATGGAGACTACTAGAGTGACCTCACTGTGCTCTCCACCCAGCTCCACCAACTAACTAACCATATGGCCAGACTTGCATCTGTAACACTCTTTGCTATTCTCCCCACCATCCGACACTGCCACGGGTTTATTACTGTCTTTATTTTTAGAGACAGTGTCTCACTCTGTCACACAGGCTGGAGTACAAGAGCATGGTCACAGCTCCCTGAAGCCTCAAATTCCTGGGCTCAAGTGATCCTCCTGCTTCAGCCACCAAAGTAGCTGGGACTACAGGCATGTGCCACCAAGCTTGGCTAATTTTTAATTTCTGTGTAGAGACGGGGTTTCTTTATTGTAGCCCCAGCTTGTCTTGAACTCCTGGTTAAGCAATCCTCCCACCTTGGCCTTCTGAAGTACTGGATTATAAGCATGAGTCACTGCACCCAGCCCACCACAGGATTCTTTTAAAATGACTATGCATATAACATTATAGGTAAGTTGTTTTTGTAATAGTTCAGGAGTCAGACAATGGTGGGTAGGAAGATGGAAAGAAGCGCAAAGATTAAGGTTTTGTTTTGTGATTTAGAGTTGACAGGACTTGCAGATGGATCGGATGTAGAGGGTGAAGGAAAGAGAGGAATCAAGGATGACTGTCTGTGGCTCAGCACCCAGTGGGTGGTGGGGGTGCCATTTACTGAGATGGAACAAACAAGGGGAGGGACAGAGTGCAGTGTGAGGGACACCAAGAGGCCTATTTTGGACATTAGTTATGCTTGAGATGCTTCTAGGGCATTAGTGGGGAGTTATCAAGAAGGCTGCTGGGTAAGTATGGAGCTCCAGGAGAAGATCTAAGTTGGGGAGAAGAATTTGGAATTTATCCACATATAGGTGGTATTTAAAGTCAAGAAGGGACGGGTGCAGTGGCTCATGCCTGTAATCTCAGCACTTTGGGAGGCTGAGGCAGGCGTTATCACTTGAGGTCAGGAGTTTAAGACCATCCTGGCCAACACAGTGAAACTCACCTCTACTAAAAATATAAAAATTAGCCAGGCGTGGTTGCAGGTGCCTGTAATTCCAGCTACCTGGGAGGCTGAGGTGGAGAATTACTTGAAGCCAGGAGGCAGAGTGGGTTCTGCAGTGAGCCGAGATTGTATCACTATACTCTACCCTGGACAACACAGCAAGACTCTGTCTCAAAAAAAAAAAAAAAATAATAATAATAAAGTCAAGAGGGACTGAGTGAGACCACTAAGCAGAAGTCCTTTCAGTATTCAGACAGAAATTTGGGTTTTCTGGTGATCTGTGTCTTTTCCTAAAGACGCTGAGCCAGGTGTAGTGGTTCATGCCCATAAGTCCAACACTTTGGGAGGCTCAGGTGGGAGAATCGCTTGAGCCCAGAAGTTTGAGACCAGCCTAGGCAACATAGTGAGAACCCCATTTCTACAAAAATTAAAGAAGCTGGGTGCAGTGGCTCACACCTGTAATCCCAGCACTTTGGGAGGCCGAGGTGGGCGGATCACCTAAGGTCAGGAATTCAAGACCAGCCTGGCCAACATGGTGAAACCCCATCTCTACTAAAAATACAAAAATTAGCCAGGCATGATGGTGCACACCTGTAATCCCAACTACTTGGGAGGCTGAGGCAGGAGAATCGCTTGAACCTGGAAGGCAGAGGTAGCAGTGAGCTGAGATCATGCCACTATACTCCAGCGTGGGTGACAGAGCAAGACTCCATCTCAAACAAAACAAAACAAAACAAAAATAAAACAAACAACAACAAAAACACAGGAAAAAAAAGAAAAATTAGCTGGGCATGGTGGTGTGCACCTGTAGTCCCAGTTACTCAGGAGGCTGAGGCAGGAGGATCCACCTGAGTCCAGGAGTTTGAGGCTGTAGTGAGCTGTGATCACACAACTGCACTCCAGCCTGGGCAACAGAGCAAGGCCCTGACTCAAAGAGAGAGAGAAAAAAAAGTGCCGAGTGACTCATCTTGGAGTGGTTTAACAATTCCAATTTGAAATTCACCCCAAAACTGATGACCAATAATTCTAGAAAAACAATGTCAATTTTTTTTTTTAAGGACCTTGCTGTTACCTATATTGCATGGCATGACTTTATAGAACAACAGAGAGAAATAATGGTATTGTCTTTGATGAGTTAACAGGATTTTCTCTCTTAAAACTAAAGGTCATACACAAATAATACCAGAAGTCTAAAACCATGCTTATAGTAAGACTATTAGATCTGTGGATATTAAGAGCTCCCTGATAACATTTAGAGGAGCATTAGTCCAAGGCTAGTGGGAAAGAGTTAAGATTCTGATCTTGGCTGGGCACGGTGGCTCACGCCTGTAATCCCAGCACTTTTGGAGGAAGACTGAGGCAGGAGGACTGTGTGAGGCCATGAGTTCGAGACCAGCCTGGGCAACATAGTGACACCCCCATCTTTATTTTTTAAAAAAGGGAGAGGCGTGCTGACTCATGCCTGTAATCCCAGCACTTTGGGATGCCGAGGTGGGAAGATCATGAGGTGAGGAGTTCGAGACCAGCCTGGCCAAATGGGAAAACGCTTTCTCTACTAAAAATACAAAAATTAGCTGGGCATGGTGGCGCATGCCTGTAGTCCTAGCTACTTGGGAGGCTGAGGCAGGAGAACTGCTTGAACCCAGGAGGCAGAGAGTGCAGTGAGCTGAGATCATGCCATTATACTCTAGCCTGGACAACGGGATGAGACGCTGTCTAAAAAACAAACAAACCAAGGATTCTGATCTGCACTAATCACCCTCTCCACCTCCGCTGTCTCTTCCAGCTTGATTTACATTCCGTCTTGGATTAGTAGGTGCGTCTGTGTTCATTTCCACCCAGGTATCTTTCTCTCTGGCTTTTCTCCATAAGAATAATATTTAGAGTCCATGTCTAGGCAATAGAGGCTATCTAGACTTAGAGACAGAGTTCTCACCTGGGAATCCATCTCTTGGCGTTTGATCTGTGTCAGCGTCATGCTTGAGAAGTCCATGTTGTCTGCAAGGATGGAAACAAGAAGGTCTTATCAAATTCTACGCTGGCTGACTGGCACCTGAGAGGTGGCCAATGGCAATGCCCTGTGGAAACACCTGGTTTGCCATCTGTCAACACAGCATGAAAGTAACCAAGGGGGCTGGGTGTGGTGGCTCACTCCTGTAATCCTCGCACTTTGGGAGGCTGAGGTGGGCGGATCATGAGGTCAGGAGTTTGAGACCAGCCTGGCCAACATGGTGAAACCTCATCTCTACTAAAAATACAAAAATTATCTGGGTGTGGTGGTGAGCACCTGTAATCCCAGCTACCTAGGAGGCTGAGGCAGGAGAATCACGTGAACCTAGGAGGTGGAGGTGGCAGTGAGCCAAGATCGCACCACTGCACTCCAGCCTGGGTGACAGAGTGAGACCCTGTCTCAAAAACAGAAATAAAGAAAAAATAAAATAAGAAAAATATGAAAGAATGTAGACACAGTACTGTGGGATTTGGGATCTCAGGACAAGACGCAGAGAAGAGCTCAACAGAGTGGATAGGAAAAGCATCTCTTCGGAAAGGCTACCTGTCTCCTCGATCTGTGATTTGCCAGAGATGGTTGAGGCCACGACGCTGGCAGTGGCCTGGTTCACTCCCCGAGAGGCCTGCTGCAGCTGGGCTAGGTTGGGGCTGTCCTTATCAGCTTTCACCTAGCAGGACAAAGCGGATTTAGGTTCACACAATACCTAGAACAACAAGGACTGAATTAAATAATTCCTCTGATGGTTCTTAACACACATGTGTGGGCCAAATGGTAATCACCAATCAATTTCTGAAAATCCACTGCCTATAGAGTCAGCTCCTGACATATCTGTCATATACAAAATTATTCCTGGCCTCTTTGCTTGGTGGCTCCCAAACTCTAAGCATTATCACTTATTTGGACAGTGTACCCAGTTATGGAAACCAATTTGGGATGACCAGAAATAAGGACAAATAAAGAAAACTCTGGGAGACTGTGAAACTCTTCAAAGAATTTTGGGTACCAGCTTTACATGAAAATTAGTTGGGGGCATTGATGATATCGATTCAAAAAAATTTTTTTGTTTTTCAGAAAGAGATTCACTCTCATCACCCAGGCTGGAGTGCAATGGCGTGATCTCATCTCACTGCAACCTCTGCCTCCCAGGTCTAAGCGATTCTCCTGTCTCAGCCTCCCCAGTAGCTGGGATTACAGGTGCCCACCACCACACCTGGCTAAGTTTTGGATTTTTAGTAGAGATGAGGTTTCAACAGTTTGGCCAGGCTGGTCTTGGACTCCTGACTGCAAGTGATCTACCGGCCTTGGCCTCCCAAAGTGCTGGGATTACAGCCATGAGCCACCACGCCTGGCCTGATTCAAATTTGAAGGCTAACAAGAAGGGGTTGTGGAATCTCAGAGCCAATCCGGGTAACCTGTTTATGAGGCCAACCTATTCCGTATTCGAATGTTTCTTGAATTCCAGGACTGCTAATCAGAAGTTGGCATTGCTGGGACTCTCTAAGGCGACTTGTGACAGATGTGAGAAAAGCCATGAGGGACACGTGTGGTGCGCTGGGTACAGGCATTCCTTGCTGTCACACGAAAGGCTTTTAGAAGAGGATGGTGTGGGACCCTTAAGAGGCTGAATTTTTATTTGGGATTGGATCCACTTGAGCCATGGATTAATCATCTGTTCTCAGGGCCAGTTCCATCCCATCATCCAAGTACTGTCTAACCTAGCCAAGTACTCTCCAACTCCTAAGTACTCTCGAACCTAGCCAAGTACCGTCTAACCTAGCCAAGTACTCTCTAACACAGTGAAGTACTGCCTAACCCAGCCAAGTACTCTTTAGCCTAGCCTAGTACTCTCTAACCACGGCGTCCAGGGTCCTAGGAGGTCCAGCACAGGTCCTACCTTGGATGCAGCCACAAGCTGGGCTGTGCTAGCAGCAATTTCATGTGAACACACCATTAGCTCCTCAAATTTCCCTCTGCCTTGTACCACCAGATCAGCTGCATCCCTGGTAGAAAAGGACAAGAGGGACTAGGTTACAGGTAGATGAGCTGTAACTTCCCCACGATCCCACCTCCAGATGACCCCATTGCCCTTAGCTAAATAGGGAGGGGAAGCTGCCTGCCCTGTGTCACCCTGGGTGAGCCATGCTCCCGTGTAAGCTCAGTCCTATTGACTTTCTGATCAGCAGTTCATTTCTAAGGGACATATAATTATTTTTTTTTCCTTTTAAGCTATTGTTTGGAGTTGATCAATGGAAGAGTGGTTGGGGAAGGAGCCTTGGCACCAATGGGCACTTACACCATGACAGTGGCTCCCCAGCCCACAGCCTTGGAAGCTGAGATGAGTCCTTCTGTCCACCGAGAGTTCTTGGCATAAAACTCTTTAGGGGATGCTGTACCCTAGGGAAGTGAAAAATAGTAATAGCCACCTTTTACTGAGCACGTACTATATGGCAGGTGCTTATAGATATCTATTATCCCAAATCAACCTCACAGTAACTGGGAGATGTAAATGTTAGTATTCCCATTTTACAATAAAGAAAAAGATTCAGAGACAAAAATGGCTTTTCCAGCTGGGTGCAGTGGCGCATGCCTGTAATCCCAGCACTTAGGGAGCCCGAGGCAGGCAGATCACTTGAGGCCTGGAGTTTAAGACCATCCTGGCCAACATGGTGAAACCCCGTCTCTACTAAAAGTACAAAAATCAGCTGAGTGTGGTGGTGGGCACCTGTAGTCCCAGCTACTTGGGAGGCTGAGGCAGGAGAATTGCTGAACCCAGGAGCCACAGGTTGCAGTGAGCCAAGATCGCGCCACCGCACTCCAGTCTGGACGACAGAGCAAGATTCCATCTCAAAAAAATATAAAAATTAGTTGGGTGTGGTGGTGGGCACCTGTAATCCCAGGTACTCAGGAGGCTGAGTCAGGAGAATCGCTTGAACCCGGGAGGAGGAGGTTCAGTGAACCTAGCACCGCACTCTAGCCTGAGCAAGAGAGCGAGACTCCATCTCAAAAAAAAA